TCCTCCTCCAGTCATGTTAGCTCAGGAATTCTGGGAGTTGAAGTCCAAAAGTCTTAAAGTTGCCAAGTTTGGAAGACCCTTGGATTAGACAGACAGAGACAGATAGATATAGACAGATTAGATAGATGATAGATAGATAGATAGATAGATAGATAGATAGATAGATAGATAGATAATGGAGATGGAGATTTATTTATTTATTTTTATTTATTTATTTGATTTGTCAATTGTTTACAAGATAATAAGTATAAGTGTATACATAGTTGTGAATACATGAGATGGGTACATATAAGAAAAATAAAAGAATAGAGAAACAATAGGACAGGGACGGTAGGCACGTTGGTGCACTTATGCACGCCCCCTACAGACCTCTTAGGAAAGGGGTGAGGTCAATGGTAGACAGTCTAAGGTTAAAGTTTTTGGGGTTTGGGGAAGAGACTACAGAATCGGGTAGAGTATTCCAGACATTGACTACTCTATTGCTGAAGTCGTATTTCCTGCAATCAAGTTTGGTGCGGTTTACTTTGAGTTTGTATCTATTGTGTGCTCTTGTGTTGTTATGGTTGAAGCTGAAGTATTCATTGACAGGTAGGACATTGCAATGTATGATTTTATATACCATGCTTAAGTCAGACCGAAGACGGCGTAATTCAAGGTTTTCTAGTTCTAGAATTTCAAGTCTGGTGGCATAAGGTATTCTAGATAGATACTATAGACCAGATAGATACTACCAGATAGATCTATCTAGATAGATACTATAGACCAGGGGTCTTCAAACTTGACAGCTTTAAGGCTTGTGGACTTCAACTCCCAGAACTCCTCCGCCAGCCATGTTAGCTCATGAATTCTGGGAGTTGAAGTCCACAAGCCTTACAGTTGCTATGTTTGGGCGACCTCTGCCCAAACAGTAGAATTCAATAGAGTTACTGCTCTGGGATAGGAGCTGTGAGTGGATCTTTTAAGCAGCCAGAAACACTGCAGTAGTTTTTCAAGCGTCCCGACAGAAGGGTGCTTTCCCCCCCCAGCCCCTAACATCCCTGGCTTGAAGGCACTGGCTATCATTCTGTCATGTTGGCTTCCCCAAATGAATGTTGGCGCCTGTTAAAAAGGAGGCTTCCAGACCTGGTAGGAGAAGGTCAACCAAGTTTACAGGTCAAGGGAAAGGTGCTGCCCTCCTAGTTTTATGGATATGGAAGTGGACTTTTGGAAAGTTGGTTGGGTGCCTTGTCTTGTTTCCCGTGGGGTCAACTAGACGCCTCCGGAAAATTCCATAAATTAGGAAGGCAAGCCATTGGGGAACCTAGATTGAAAAAACCGTATGTTTTGGATACAGAGGGCCCCTTTGGGATTGTGGTTAAAGGCATCAGGCTAAAAACCAGGAGATGGTGAGTTGTACCAAAGGCCACCTGGGTGACTTTCAGGCAAACACCAGGAGACGGTGAGTTCTAGTCCTGCTTGGACTCTGAGCCTTCGTTGAGCTGTTCTCAATGTAGTAAAAGCCGGGATGGGAATCAAATTGGTTATTTCATTCAGTGCCGAAAAGCTTCTCCTTCTCAGCCTGGTTCATTCTTTTTCTTTCTTTCTTTCTTCTTTCTTTCTTTTCCTTTCTTTTTCTTTCTCCTTTCTTTTTTTCTTTCTTTCCTTCTTTCTATCTTTCTATCTTTTCCTTTCCTTTCTTTTTCTTTCTTTCTTTCTTTCTTTTTCTTTCTTTCTATCTTTCTTTCGATCTATCTTTCGATCTATCTTTCGATCTTTCTATCTTTTCCTTTCCTTTCTTTTCCTTTCTTTTCCTTTCTTTCTTTCTATCTATCTTTCTATCTTTTCCTTTCCTCTTTCTTTCTTTCTTTCTTTCTTTCTTT